AAGAAAAAACTAAAATAAATAAATAAACGATAATATCTATAATGTTAGTTACTATGCTAAGTGTTATATCCGGATAAGAATAGGGAATGGTAACTTTTTACGATCCATTTATGAACCAATACTAAATGTATATTAAGTAAGTAACTAAACTATCTACATATACATATTCCTCTTATCATAAGTTTGATTTTGATCCATAAACTATATTATCATACGTTTTACCATTCTTGAGTTATAATACCCAGTACATTATTTATTATTACCTCCCTCATTTACAGCCATAACTGGGTAATTCTTGTACAAATGTTGTTTCCATATTATATTGGTACGTTATGGTCTCTCTGGTTAAGATATAAACCGAGTATGTTTGAAATATAATGATTCATATCACAGAGGCTCGGATTGGTGTTCTAGACTTAACTGGCTGGGCTAGACAGAAAGCAGGGTCAATCAAGACTCTAGGCTGCTCGTACGTGTTTTATGCGTCATTGTTTCGATCGTAAATTCGCTGCTCTCTAATCGGCGGGTCACAAGTTATAACACTAAACTTATATACCTTATTCTAGATTCCAGACAAGTTAGTTTATTTATTTATTTATTCTTTTTAAGTTACACTTTGATCATGTTAATTATTCACTTATCAACTTTGACTGTTCTTTATGTATATATATATGAGCATATCTGTATGTACACTTCTTATCCTATTCATTATATTTCTCTAACCTATTGATTAATGTTTGATTAAATATAGGAGTTAACTCATTTGTTTTCTCCATTGTGCATCATTTTCATTTCACTTTTGTTCTTTTGATCGTCTGCTTGGATTCATGATTGTACTGTAGTGACCTACTTTTGTCAACAGAACACGATTGGTTTAATGAAAACAATTATTATTATAACCAATTGTATCAGTGATTGTTTTACTGTGCTCGTTTGTTTAATTGTGCTAATGACAGTCATATTGCTCTTCCATTGGCCTCTATTACATTTTCCACGGTTTGTGACTGTACTCACGTACTCCTTCCTGTCGATTTCACTTGTAACATTTTGGCACGATCTTGATATTTGTTCTATATCACGAGATCGCCAACGAATAAACTTGGTTACAATCTATTCTCGCCTTCAGATTTGTTTGGTACGTGCTCAACTTGTAGTAGTTTTCATAGTCAATTGCGACTCGACTTCACACTACAGTACAAAAATATACATATTTAATAATTCATTCTTGTATTTCACTTGTTTTAATTCTGTTTATATTCATTAACATGAGTTAAGTTGATAATTATATATGAGAATAACAAGAATGTATATTTCGACAATAATCATTTATACAATCTAATTGAAGTCAAATATAAGGCCACTAAATATTTACAGAATACGAATAAAAACTAATCAAAAACGAGAAGAATAACATAAATTCACTTTACAATTGATTGATCACTGAGTGGTGACCAATGTCATACGTGTCTAGTCCTTATTATTAATGCAGATCAAATGCCATCGATCATATTGCAATATGGCCACCAGTCTCTGACTGTGAACCTGAGTGACACGGGATCAAATCCGCCAGGGAGTACCAGTTCCCTTAAAGATTACAGCTACACCTTGCTAATGAGTGCCAAGTAGCACGAAACCCGGGTCCACGGTTTCCTGTCGACTACCTCCAACCACCATATAAACTGACTTTATTTTGTCTGATCCTCATCAACTGCTTACAACAATCATAATTACAAAATGGGTTTAGATTACTTACATTAAAACAGTTTAATTACTTACTTACTTACGCCTGTTACCAACAATGGAGCATAGGTCACCGACCAGAACTCTTCAACCCACTCTGTCCTGAGCCTTCTTTTCTAGTTCTATTCAATTCTTGTTCATTTTTCTCATGTCTATCTCCATTTTCCTACTTAATGTGTTCTTTGATCTTCCTCTTCACCCACTTTGGCTTTGAGGATTCCATGTAAGGGCTTGTCTCGTGACGCAGTTGGTTGCCTTCCTCAATGTGTGTCCTATCCACTTCCAGCGCTTCTTTCTGATTTCTTCCTCCACTGGGATCTGATTTGTTCTCTCCCATATTAGGTTTTTGCTGTTAATAAACATCTGTATCTTCTGGATGTCAACACATATTGATATAATCGAAGAGTTGGGAATAAGTTTATTAGCTGATTGATTTTTATGAGTCAGAAATAAATGAATCTCACTGCTTCACATCAAAGATTCACAGAACTAACTGTTAGACATCTGTTGAAAACTGATAATTGCTCAAAAATTTTCTGAATTGATGATCATGTTGTCTAGGAAGAGATATATATATAAACGTTTCATGATAATATCACTTAGCTCAAAGAACCTAATTCCAGTAAAATAATTCTTCTAAGCTATCCACTATTTTCGTCATCCCAACAATAAGGTCTGTTTGACAAGTTATACTACATATTTCATATATCTATTCCATGAATGAATTTCATGATCAATCAATATTATCTGGAGATTTCCTTAAATATGTCAGTCATTTTACATGTTATATAAACAACAATTAACTAAACAGTTTGCTTCTAGGTTAAAATGTGACTGAAGTTGTAGTTAACCTTTTCCTTTAAAAATTTAGAATATTGATACTTCTTCAAAAGTGATATGAAGAGTGGAGAGTGGTTGTGAACGACCTATGCACCTCTACAAGGGGTAACAGGCGTAAGTATACAAGTGAACAATCAGTTCTTGATCTAATCTACAGTTGATATTTTCGAATTTAATGCCTTCTATATATCAGTGTATATTGATATAATGTAAACGGTTAGGTAGTTTTACATCTAATCAATTGAGTTTTTCATCGTCAACTTTAGAATTTAATGTTATTTAAATACATAAATTTTAGTGAAAGTGATCATGTTGTTAAACAGTATTGTAGATCACCAGCGTAGATGATCTATGTCGAAATGATTGGAGGCCTACTCGAGTTAGACGTGAGTGGTGTGACAAACTAGCTTACGTCGAAGTCACACCTCGCGGTCAGCACTATACGTGGATTACCCCATTGACGTATCAAGATACTATAGATGCTTTGAAGGCTGTACAACAAAGAGGACGTTATTACAGAAATATATTAGTTAAAGTAGATACAAGCGAAGGTGAGACCATTGCCGTATGGGCCAGTCCATGGTGTACGATTAACTGATGCGCGTTGGTTGTCCTTGACGAGGATTGATGATATATTCGATATTCAATAACCCAACTACCGGATGATTTGGCTAGGGATCAGTGGAATTTCACTGGCCCTACATTATCCTCAATTGTATATTTTTTTCTTCTAGAGTTATTCACATACGAAACCAAGTTAAGAAACCGGTAATCGTTTTGTTCGAATCTACACCATCAAACTAATCAGTTTAAAGGTAGTACGAATCAGGTATTTATCCACCACAGATTTCTGAGCGACAATCAAATCCTGAACTGTGTATTGGAAAGCAGTATTTTCAACCTCTTGGTTTGCTATAGATCTTACCAAACATTATATTACATACTTACTGATCAGTTATTATTATCATCACTGAATTCTCTTTATATTCGATAAACTGGGTTTTCTCTCATGTGCTTCATATCTATCAAACATCATCATCAACCTTTGGACCATTAAAAAAAGTACATCGATTGACATACGATTTGAATATAGGGATACATTCCATCACAAGGACACCTAGAATTTATCTTACATGAAAAGATTTTACACTTCAGTTGTTAAGCTTATAACCTGTAAATTTGAGATCTATAAGATATCATCTTAATTTGCGAACCATTATAGAAAACTGTTACAATTCTAAACAATTCCAAGGTTATAAGCAAAAGTGGATAGTGGCTAGGATGCGCGTTTCGTCCTATTTGGGACTCAGAGTTGATGTTCACTCTGGGACTCGAACCCAGTATCGTTCGCTTCAAACGCTATCGCGTTATCCACTTAGCTACTGAGTCCTGATAGTCACTTGCTTGTGCAATGCGATGAAGTTTAATTCACTTGATATTGTTTTACTTGAATCTTTCCATTGATGTTTAGCACTAAAATTGATCAGTCTCTTATTAGCATATGTGCATACTAAGCGTATTGCCTCGATATTGCCTTAATTTACAAGCATTATAAGCAAAGATGGATAGTGGCTAGCAGTGGAATCCAGGACGCGCGTTTCATCCTATCAAATTAAATTAAAGAGACTGATTGATTGCAGTCCTAAACATGAATGGGAAGATTCAAGTGAAGCAATATCAAGTGAATTAAATTCCAAGGTTGTCAATATAAAGTACTAATGACCATTTGTATATCGATTCTCTAGATTTATATAAAATACCTAAAAACTACTTTTAATTAGTCAAGAAAATGATAATTGACCTTAATTTGAATAATAATTATTATAATAAATAGTAAAGTAGTTACTATTATATTGAAATGATTCAATAGCATCAGAAGAGTTTCAATGGTTGAGATCATGAGTCAATTGAAGCTAGACCACTATGAAAAGTCTGAAAGAACTGGACTGTCATTTTTGTCCTATTGTGGGACTCTTCCGTGGCAATGAACAACCATAATCCCGACTCGAGAGATTCGAATTAAGAACCAATCTGTTTTGTACACGAACGCTCAAACGTTAGACCATTGACCTGGTCGTCACCCAATGGTGTTAATGTCTAACCCCAACTAATCCACAAAATTGAGTGATACATCCACCACTATCTTCAGTGAGTTACTATCTTACAATATAAGAGTCTCACAATAGGACGAAACAACCATCCAGTGCTTCTAAGTTTTCTAATAATGATCTAGCTTCAATGGACTCATGATCTCAACCATTAATAAAAGCTATAAGATAATATATATCTATTTTAATTAGAACATTTTTCAACCAATCAAATTAATTGCCCATTAGGAAATTTGACAATAACTAACCAATAAGATATTAAAAAAATCTTATCATAATTTATACTTAAATTCAGTTAAAGGATATAGTATAGTACAATCCTACTGAATTGAAAGTTTTATTTGTATTTATAAGTAAGTCCTATAGATTAATGTAAATTTGTTCAAGTAATTTGTAATCATTAGCTATATTACTTTGATCGAGTTTGATTCTCTAAGCTGAAGGATTTAGTTGTTGAGTTTACATCGTTTTCTCTGAATGAGATCATCAGTACAAACTTCAAATAGATGTGATCATAATGATGAATGATAAAAAGCTCTACGACCAAATCATCTAGCTTAGAGAGCAAGACTTTATCAAAATCATCCACCTGAACTACAAATAGTCTCTACCATCTCATAGCCAATATTATGCTTTTTAAAGTACGAAAAAAAATAGTTGTGTAGATCAAATCATCAAGATCAACGATATCGATATACAACTAACAACAGATCATGAGTTAACTAAAAATATAAAGAATCGACACTGGTCTAACAGAAATTCTTGTATAATTAATTGGGCAATAATAATATTCTAAAGGTGTATGAACCAATCGTTGGTCACCGGCTACCATGGGACTGCATCTCCTTACGATGTTTCACTGCCTTGTGGATCAGACCTTCAGGTCGAAGGCTCTGGGTGTGGCCCCCTAAGAAAACCATGTGGTCCAGTTTGGGCACCCGGGTAGTATCACAGCCCTCACACAAATCAATTGAGATTCGTGTGGCGTATATGTATTTGGCGCCTCCTTGTACCAATAGTTGTGTTAAAATAAATAAATAAATAAGAGGTGTGAAGGTGTGTAATCAAAAAATACCTCTTTATGTTATGGTTGAATATATACAGTGATATGGTTTTACTTTAGATTGGATCATTACAATCATCATATAGGATGTATGTACATATAAAGGATATATGCTTTCTAAATAAATTTTCTGTTTCCATTCAAAGTTAACAATAACCAATAATAATTGAATTGAAAGTTCTGATTTAGGTTTATAACACAATATAGAAGGTAGGTAGGTAGGTAGGTAGGTTAGGTATCTTGGTGTTTTGAGTAATTAAACATTCTCTTATGTAACAATTCAATTAATAAGTCTTAGTAATATAATGAAATTCAGGATACATATAGATGGACTATGTTAGTCGTTTAATTTTTCTTTAGTCAGTCAGCTACAACATAGGACCAGGAACAAATATCCATCGGTCCAAGTTTCCACACCTCATTAGCACAACAAGATGAATATGAAATTCATGAAATTAGTGACTTCGATGGTTGTGATATATAACAGAAAGATTGAATATAAGGATATAATACAGGAAGAAAGAATTAGTTCGTAGAAAGAAAGATATAAATCAATTTTAATCTCACGGTTTAAGGGCAGACAAAGAGTGTATACACCAACGCCATTGTGATCAGTTCTAAGCCATGTCACCAAAAGTTTCCAACCACTGGTTACTATCGTGATACGGACCCCGACCAAGTAGTCTTCATCTACCAACATGGCTCAAACTAGAAGTTAGTGACTTCAAGCACTAATACCATGTTTTGGTTTGGCGGTCTCTTTCTTTCAACCATCTTCAACACTTGTCAATATTACGCGTCGTGATAATCGGACTTCAGACATACGCGACATGTGGCCCAACCATCTCAGTCGATTTATTCATAACTAACCAATTAAATGAATAAATTCAACAGTTTTATTGAATTAAAACTTAATATATATTTGTAATTAATGAATGTTTATTCATTTCATTACGAGTATACGCCAATGTTTACATATAAAATTATTATAATAGTTCAGATCATGAGTCGATTGAAGTTAGATCACTATGGAAAACCTAGAAACAATGGATGGTTGTTTCATTTCTATTGTGAGTCTCCTCCGTAGCAGTGCTCATCCACATTTCCGACTTGCGAGATTCGAATCAAAGACCTAGCAGTATTCACTATTAGAATGACTATAATATCCACAAAACCTCTTCTGATATAAAATTATATTGTAATTTTTATCAATAAGAAGACAAACTTGATTGAGTACTCTTAAAATGTCTATAGAAATTGATACAAAATAAGCCTAAAGGTTTCATTATATATTCATTAAACCTTATATGACATAACTAAAATTACATTTCTATAGTATTAAACTAAACTTTGAATATAACTCCATGTAATGACGTAACTCATATTGTATGAAACTTATTTAAACAGTAAGGATATGATCCTTTTCCTAGACCTTAAATTGGTTTACATGGATACAGGACATCATATTGATACCCTACAATCATTCATGGTGATAAAAGGAAATCATTTGTTACACAACCAATTTATATGTTTATTATTTATTATTTATTTTAACACATAGATATTGGTACAAGAGGGCACCAAATACATATGCGCCACACAGATCTCATTTGAAATGTGTGAGGGCTGTGATGCTACACGGGTGCCCAAACCGAACCACGTGGTTTTCTTAGGGGGCCACACCACGAGCCTTCGACCTGAACGTCTTATCCACAATGCAGTGAAACATCGTAAGGAGATACAGTTCTATGGTAGCCGGTGACCAACGATTGGTTCATATGCTATTTGTTCCTTCAGGATACTGGAGCCAGCCCATGTGCACCATTTGTTTGGGATCCCGTCAAAGTGCCGGACATTCGATTTTCGTCCTCTCATTTTCGTAAACAACACCCGTGGTGAGAGAAGGCATTGAGTAGAACTTCCCTGACAGAGGGTATATACGCGTGGTCATGTGAGAGCGTTTCGAGAGGGAGAGCGGACTCTCTCCATTCTCGGCCATACCAGGGCATCTAATATAAGTTCATTAAATAGTTCAGCATTGGTGAGACTATAATTTCTGGACGAACCAATCACATTTAACATCGTAAATCTTGAATTTAGGCGCTGAATTCATTCACTCATTTGATTAAATATCATTTTGACATTATAGCTGATATCAGTTCATAATGAAAACTTTAAATGTAATTCCTAACCCTAACCATTTATTGTAAATCATAATCTTTATTCTTCAAACTGCTTTATAACCCTTATTTAACTCTAGTAAGTAGGTAGGCACTCTCAAGGTTACTTTAGAGTCGTTCACAGGTTCTTCATAAATTAGAGTCTCACCAAATTATCTTTCTGAACAACAAATCTGTGTCACAAATTCATCAAAAGAATTTTTTGTAACATTTTACAGTTTACAAACATTATTTGTCAATACTTCCTGATTATATGGGGATATTATTAAAACAATTTCAATATAAACCTGAGTACTAAAAAACTCAGTATTTAAAGTACATGGATTTCTACCAATAAACCACAAATTCAGACACCAACTGGGAAACTAGAAACAATCAATCACTTTTATGATTGGCGGTGTCTGAAATCTTATATTGATACATGACTATACTAATCACTAACTCCACCTCCCAACTGTCTACTTGAGTGAGAACACAAAAGTAGATGAGGAAGTATATTTGGCTTCCGAAGAAAATGTGCAAATACTCATATATATATATATATACATTCTACCCCTTAAGAAGTCAATCCTTTTTTAGTCAATGAAACCCATTTGTCATTCAAATCACTTCCGACTGACATCGATAGACTTTTTCATTTCGGTACTTCCAATTAGCTTACCATATCACGTTTCCCCTTGAAAAGCTTTACCTGCTCCTTGGATTTGACTGAAGGTGTTGAGGGAAACGTCGTGTTCACGATGATTTTCTTGGAATCTGGCTAACACTTCTTCTGCACTGATCTTGTCGCTCCAGACTGGGTCTATCAATTAAAGTATCTTGTTGCAAGTTTAAGCTAGAGGGTTCTTTATCTGAACTTATTTATCTATCACGGAAGTTGTTTACGTGTTGCGTCAGGCAATTACCTCGGACACCATTTCCGTATATAACGTCACCGACTCTTCTTAAGAGGATACCCGTTACCGACGCACGCCCTTATTGTCGAAAGTTTCGTACATATGCTGATGATACATATGTTAATTTTTCCTCACTTCTGGCTTTCTTCTCTGTGGATATATACCATCAAATGAAGTCCGAGTCTCCCTTCTGAACACTAATTTAGCTGGGGAGACACAGTTGGGTGAGGATGGATTCAAAATTATCCCGGATAGTATTCTCAGTTGTGCCCACCCCTTGTGATCATTCTTAAAATCACTAGGAAACTTCTGCTTTTATTTGTGAATCATAGAAAGATAGGAAGATCCTTGGTTACAAATAAGATTGGATGAATTGCCGAACATTTTCTAATCTGGATTACAAATAAGAATAAATAGGTAATCAAATATTTTCAATTCTGTAATTCAGTCAAGACCCAATAGATTGAAAGATCCATCAGTAACATAACATTTGGATATGGTCATTAGATCATTACATTTGACAATGAGTCTAATAATTCCAGAAGTTTTAATTGAGATGCCTGATACATTCTTTATGCAATCGGTGGTAAGATGAATGCTTGGTAGACCAAGTTCATGCCATGTTTTGCCAGAAATCAGGGTAACATCGGATCCAGTGTCTAACCGCGGAGTGATAATACGATCACTAACATTAATGAATAAATACTTGCGTAAGTATTGAGAGTTCGATTCTGACAAAAGATATCAACAATTTATTTTTTTTTGTCATTGACAGTGTAATCAAGGTTTACTGCGTTTGCAAAATCTATTCTTTGTCCATTTACTCCACGTTTTGCGCATCTGTGGTTACTAAATCTACTGGAACGGGAAAAATCTCATGCAACTAGTGAGAAGCGTCATAGAGTGACGTGAATTAGAGTTATGAACATTAGACATCCGATTTAAGCGGGAAACGTTTTATAAATCTGCTTTGAGACAATCATAATACCATCTGTATGAGTAAGTTTCAACGAGTAGAATTAACTAGGATTAACAACAGATATATGATTAGGTGTAGTGTGACTCAAAATCGAAAAAAATCTGTACTTGATTTAACCCTCATAATCAGTTCATAAGTTGCCAATGATTTCTCTTCAAATGTAATAACTATCAATTAATTGATAACTTAAATCCATCCTATTATAAAAAAAGTAAATATCACAAGGGGTTTTGTG